AAAAAAAAAAAAAAACAAAAACAAGAAGAAACATTTGCAAATTATACAAGTACAAGAAAGATCTCTTACATAGCAGTCTTTTCCTTCTATTCTGTAGCGTGCTTCTCTTAGATCAGCAATACTTCGCCTCACTTGTTCCCCACGGTATTCGAGAACCTGATCACAAATAAAAGCTTCTTACTCCATGTAAAAACGTATTTCAGTTGCCAGCAAATCAGAAGATGTTAATATTCCAATTGCTCAGAAATACAAAGTATGCAGGTATAATGTACACTACAAAATGTTACTGCCCAATATTCTCTATCTTGCATTTTTAATTACATTGTCCTTCGGTGCGCAAGATAAATATAGAAATGCAAACACTCATTAAGCTTTAATATAATTATTATGAATACCCTTTTTACAAAGAAAACATTACTTGTCCAAAGATTAGTATACAAGTGTTTCACATATATTCAGAATGTTTTTATTTTAAAAGCACCCATAGGCATATATGCTGTCTGTTCTTAGGAAATTCTAGACACTCTTTTCTTTTCAACTGATTTGTATGATTGTCTCTTTTATGTACTCCTTTGAACACAACATTAATATACAAGAAATACTACATATTATTTCCTTTTCAGATTTGTAACTGAATTGTGCTCTATATGGCATTTGAAATTAGAATTTCATTTAAACCCCACAATAAGCATAGAAATGCAAATACTATTTTAAGTTTTATATAACATTTATTGTGATTGTAAATGACCTATTGCAATAAAATCAAAACTTGTGCAATTCAATGCTTCTAAAACAGAATGACGCATTATGATGTCCATTACAGTCTATGGATCTTTCTATAATCAATTTGTAGGGGAAAACCCCCAAGCAATAGCTCTCTAAAACCATTTCTCCAAAAAATAAATTAAGCACAAAAGGCTATTCATAAATACCATTTCTCCTTCTTGAATATTTCTACGAGCAAAGAGGCCCCACCCATGTATTCCAGATCTACCAAAGCAAACTCGGTCATTTTCAGTTCTCTGCATTCATTATGCACACATTATTTTAGCAAACTGACAAGAATGTTATGTTCTCAAAAGGAAAAAGGATAAAGATTTGCCTGTAAGTGGTAGAGTCGTTCCCTGAAAGATGAAAAATCTTTAGGCTCCTCCACTACCTGTTAAATGGAATGAAATCAATCAAGGATATTAACAAAAGATTAATTTCTATTATTTGAATTGAAAGGACAAGTAGTGTAAACAAACCAATAGATTGTAGAAAGGAGAGAAATTTACTCTGAACGCATTCAAACTCTGTAAAGTGCTTAAAGGATGATGACTAGGTCTTATTACTCGATGGGCAATGGCTTCCTCTTCAGTTCTCTGGGTAATGAGAAAAATATTACTAAGATTAAATAATAGGAGAGAGAGAAGCTTGAATTATTTTCCTTGTCGAGTTGTTGTGATTCAGAAAAGAATACATAAAGCAACATTGAGGAAAAAGTTTACCTCGAAAGGGAGCAAAATCTTATGCTTGTCTAACTTTCCTCCTTACCTTTCCCTTTTAATTTTATGTTAAAAACAGAAGGTAGCTTTTAAAGTTTATACTCATAAACCAACAAGAATCCAGCTCATCCCAGGCGCACAAGGAAAAGGAGGGAAAAAAAAATGTGGCAAAAACTTAGACAACTACAGAGCGCAAAGATATACCATGCATGAATTCAGTAAAACTGATACCGAACCAAAACAAACTGTATGAACATTTCAAACTTTCATGTAAGTTTACCTTTCTATTATTGTTTGATCTTTTAAAGACTCGACACCTAGCAGCAGAAAATGGCTCAACATTAGTAGTTTCTACAGTTGGAACCTCTTCAACTTTCATTCTGTTTGATGAAATTAGCCTTGACCCAGTCTTCTTCTTATTTTGAACAAGGCTCTTGGCAGAGAAGACGCCCAGAGGGGTCTGTATGATTAAAACAGTGTCTGGATTGGGAGCACTGAACAAAATTGATATGAGAAGAAAAACAAGTCAAAGATTGGCACATACAAAATTGCTCATAAAGAGAAACTCAGCAGATATAGTTAAAGCATACCGGTGATAAGCACAATATGACACCATTTTTGTTATTTGTCTGCCGTTTTTCTCCAAGCAATGCAACTGAAATTTAAACAGAACAGAGAATGCAAAGGATGGTAAAAGGAGATCAACTGGATTATCCTTGACAAGATAAATCAAACTAAATCCACATGAAAAGCAATCAACCTTTAACTATTAATTCGGCAGCATCATGACATATCTATCTACGCAAATCACATAATATTTCAGAGGATTTCCAAGTCACTGTTCTTTTAAAGGTTTATTTAGTTTTTTTTTTTTTTTTTTTTGCAATAACATTCTAAATTGTAATGAGAATTTACAAAGTTTGAGGAAAGAGCAAGTTCCTAGCAGCAATGCGATAAAATTAAGTTCAAGGTTTGATCTAGAACCAGCTAGGGATCTCATACAGACTGGCTATGCTTAATTGATTTGCACCAAAGGAATTAAATCTTGATTTCTGAAGATGAAATATCTTTTCTTTTTCAGCATAAATCACTTAGACATAAATACAGGTTCATAAATACTCATAGACGGGAGTATGCCCTTCACTACATAGGTGCATCCCACACAGGTACAGATAGTCCTGCAGCATGGGGTGTATCACATATTACATATCTTAAGCTCAACTGCACTCTTCAAAACCGTAAGTCATTTGTAACTCTCATTTAGTGGCATTAAATTGTTGATTAGGTGGCAAATTTTTAGAATTTCAAAGTTACTGCTTACTCATGATACATCCAATTGAATGATATCATAATATTCCACATGGTAGTCAAGGAAATTGAACTTAGATGCCAAACAGAGAGCACGTTATGTTGGTTATAGAAATTGGCGGTGCAAGTATTAGGTAGAAAGATCAGCTAAAAGTAGCTTACCTCCATGCGGTAACCAGCTCTTGATGCACACATGGCATGGTAATATGTGGAACACTTACAACATTGTGTGCAAGAACCATGAATTTGCTTGCAAATAACACAAATCTGTAGTTCATGTAAACAAGGAACATTTATAATACTTATATTAATGAAGAGCAACCACCTAATAAAGACACCTTCATGCCCAAAAACAAGAGATAAAATAGAACCAGAATAAATGATCACAAAAATATGTTAAGATAAACTTTAGAAGATATGTTATCCCAAAGATATACAATAATATCTAGTCAATCTATACCAAGAAAATTCTATTATGTTCAAAGAAACCACTTTTCAAACGTGCATGTGTGCATGTATATATGCATGTAAGGCATTGTTTCTTCTGACCAACCAAATTTACATGAAGAACTGGCAGATAAAATAGCAAAAAGATCTCATCAAAATAGCATGTTACTAATATTATTGACTCAATCAGTAAAAATCTCTGTGCCAAAAGGAAAGCCCTGACTTTCAGCCTGACGACTATTTAACGAATATCAACTAAAATTCTGCATGACAAGGAATCCTTGAGTTTCTCATGATGCAGCTGGCAACTGCTCTCCACACCAAGTGTGCAAAGATGCGCAGGCAACTGGCCTCAGATCAAGCTCAAAAAAAAAAAAAGAAATGAATTCAAGGATCTAATGATATTTAATATCTTAGTAAAGGATAGGGCATGTCCGTTAAATAGGATATATCATAAAGTTTTCATGATACAAGGAGTGAAGAACAACAGCCACAATGCACTGATGACTACAAGAGCAACTCTACCTTCACAAAGGAATTTGATGGAATACTTAATATTCCAAGAGCAGGCTCCATCTTTTCATCACTTGCAAAAGATACTTCAGGTTGAAACCAAGCACAAGTAACATGAACCCACAATGTCTCAACATCAGTGGGCTTCAAAGCACCTCCTGAAATGGGGGAAAACCACATAAATCAATAATAAACAAAAGAGACGGAATTGAATAAAAACAGATGTGGAAACTAACTATTTGAATGCAATTAAACCACTCATACTAAGATTTTAAAGGACAAGAAGCTCTCAAACAAGGTGGAAATGCAACTCTAAGTGAGTGAAAGGAAAGCTAGAATTATGCACAACCTCACTGTTAAAGGAAAATGAAAAAAGGGAGATAGTCTGTAAAACCAGCTTGAACCAAAAGAGAGCAAAGGGAGATGATCTATGGACCATACCTTTGACCGGACAAAGGCAACATTCCCGTGTAACTTCAGGTGTTTCACAAGCTTTACAAACCCATGAAGTGAAATCCCGTACATTTCTTGCACCATAACATTCTTGATGCACAGCAATCTGACATCTGAATTAAACAATCAATGTCATAACAAATATGATTTGCTCTGGGTGAACATCAACAAAGAGATCGTGCTTTGTCTAGCAAGAACATGGTTATAACTCTAGAATAATGATGAAAAATAGATAGTTGGAACTCAAATGCCTTTCACGGCTGTAAAAAAGAGGCTGAAAATGGACAATAAAAATCTAGTGCAGATCTCTCATGGTTATACCAAAGAGATATAAAAGCATGAAAAAGATTAAAATTATATTTTAACAATTAATCAGCTTAAGATCAATGTTATTTTAAAGGCAGGAGATTGCTTTTAACTTTCATAAACATGCCAAAAGAAAACAGTTTTCAGGACACCTTAAGTGAATCTTAATAGAAAAATGTTTTTAAGTACACCCAATGATGGATCCTTAAAAACTATGAATCTAGACAACATCTTATGTAAAAGGTAAACTCTACTTAAAGTTACCTGTTGCAGATAATAATTTTGTTGTAGTCCCAATCTTCAACCCATCTACAAACAGCACACCGTTCAGTTGTCCACTTCGCATGTACTGGTTCATATTTTTCTGTTCCAGAAAATGCCATAATTAGCATAACCCAATGGCCATGAATGAAAAAAAAATACGTACACTCATCAAATTGCTAATCTGATGCCTAAAAGAATACCCTGCAAAAACGCAAGCAACTTCTGCTTCCTCTCTCGTATTGATGGTCGTTTAGGAGGTTTACTACAGGCAGTAGCATTTGCATGGTACTCCGCCAACTGAAGCATCTGCAAGGTTAGACAAGAACCTATCAATTTATATCTATGGAAGGATGTACATCAATGTCAAAAGTGTAATAAAAAGGAAAGTAGTGATGGATTGCTCTGAGAAGTAGACTCCTTTATTAATTTAAACAGGAAAAAAAAAAGCCATGATATAAAGGTTTCAAAACATAAAACCAACACATCCCTCCTCCATGCTAAATTTAACTTAATGTCCACCAAAAATTTACGAAAAAGGAAAAAAGGAAAGACAGAAATAGAATAGAATTTTGTCTTCTACGTGATATTTGTTTTTGATCTCATCTGGAATCCATTTTTCTTAACAGAATTCTATCCCTGACATTCAAAGACATGAACTATGAGGAAATATGAGAAATACAGAACTGAAAGGAAAAAGAAAGGTCCAAAAGTTTTACAAACCCATTGTTCTAATGGTAGCATGGAACCTTTCACCTTCACGCTAATCCTCCAATTTCTCTCTCGGGAACCAGTGTGTCTTTCCCATTCGCTTAGCGCTTGCTTCTCAGATCCACACGACCCACACTTGCACACAACTCTGAAACAGAAGATATCATAATGAATAAAGACTCTGAGTCAAAATTCAGAAAAGCTAAATTTCTCTTCCCACGTGGAACAATTCAAGGCTCAAAATGAAATTCACCCTAGTGCGCTTTTATAGATTATTCACATGCTAAGGAGATAAAACTAAAATCATTTTGTCTTCATTTAGAATAAAGATCCCAGTTAAGAGGGCTATAAGTGTACTTGTTCAAAAATGTAAAATTAAATGAAGTAGCAGCCTCTTCTTGAATGGAATCACAGACTATTAAATTGTAATGTTTTCATAAAGGTAGTCAGAAAATAACTTCATACGAACTTATCTGCTTACTGAACAATTTGAAACAGAAAAAGAAGTCTGTGCACACTGAGATGTTTTAAAAAGTATCATTCCAAAGTGGAAAATGAAAAAAGAAATTTATTCTTTAATAAAAAAGTTTTTTCCTTACAAGTGGAGGCTTGGGTAATATATGCCTTCAACGCCACAGCAGAGAACAACAACCTTGTTAGGCAGAACTAACTGACCATTGTTCTTGCTTGATCTGCATCAAAGGTTTTACACGCATTAGATACTAGATACACACAGGTGGAGAATAAAGGATCAGTCAGAATGCCATGACAAAATTTCTGACACGTATTAGTATAATTTATAATAGGAAGTAATTCATTATAGCAGTAATGCTGGTCTATTCCTAATACACACACGACATATATGATTTCAAAATAGAACAGACTTACTTAGCTTTTGGTTGCCACTTCTCTGAATCTGATAATTCAAAGTTAAATTTTGCTTTGCAAGTAGGACAGTAATAGTCAGTGGCCCCCAGATCCTGGAGAAACAAATATGACTTAATCAGGGAAATCCAAAGTTCCATTCATTGATTTCATTAGAAGGTAGAACAAAATAATGAATTGAATTGACAAGTATGACATAAAGACCTTAAAATGATGGCTGGGAATTTTGTCACACTCTGCATGCACCCAAACTTTACAACCATCACACCGCACCTAACTCAGTGATAAGAAAACAATAAATTAGTAAAAATAGCTGCTGTACAGCAGCAGGAAAAAAAAATCAAAACTCAAGTTTCTAGATTGCCTTACCCAACTCCCACTGTCTGAATGATTCCAAATCTTCTTGCAAATGCCACAATAATGTTTTGATTTAGTTAACTGCATGAAATTGCATGTTGTTGAGAAAATAACAAAATGATAAAACAATGGAAACATAATTTAAGATCCAGCAAAAGGAGTCACTACAAACCCTAGCACATGTTTTACACAAGAATTGGCCTCCAGGAGTTAATGCTTTCATTTTCTTTCCCATTTTAAATGGGAGGATCATGCCACAGCCTTCACAGGGTCTCGTATCGTTATGTTTCCCAAGCAAGCCCTGCAAATATAGTTATTTCAATGACTAGAAGGAACATCTTTCATTGTGCAATCATTAACCTGTATGCTCCAATTGTTTCAGAAAAACATGTGAGCAAAAAAAAAAAAAGAAATGAATTTTTACATAATCTAGGTCAAATTTTGAATTATACAAAGCTCAAAAAGTAACTGAACCCTCCGGCCCCCCCCAAAAAAAAACACCCTACTAGAGAGAGAGAGAGAGAGAGAGGACTCAGGTCAGATACGCAAATGGATGCCCAAGGCCAAAGGAGAAAACCACCTACCTCGTTGCTGGTGTCTGGAATTCCGAAAGGCTTTCAATATGGTAAGAAAAGGCATTTTGAAATATCAATAAATTTGTTTCCAAAGAAACAAGGTACATTTTTATAACAACTTGCCTGGTTAGGAAGGTGATAATCCTGATCCTGGTTTGAACCAGTAGCCTCCTGAACCCATCTAAGAACAGTTTCGTCATAAGTTGGATTCCCAGCTGCGATGTTTATGTCATGTATCAACTTCTCCGTAAACCCTTGTTCTGCCAGAAAAGCCTCCTCCATTGCCAGCTGGAAATCGCTAGGCTTGCATCTGTTCAATTCACGCTGCTCATGGAACCTACATGCAGCAGAGTCTACCTAAGCACATAGCAGTTACAGAAAGAAATTCAATTGCTTGTACAACAAAACAAACTACACACCTGTCCAGAAAATCTACAAATGGGAAAATCATGCCCCGCCTGACCCATGCATAATCCTGTCCATGACCATCAAAGAAACCTAATTAATGACCACATCGCAGGCAGCACCACACAAGAAAACAAGCTCCTAAGCATAAAGGAACTTTATATAGAAAGTGATCCGTACCCTTTGATTCTCATTCCCAGAATGCCCGAAGAACATCACACAAGCAGCCTCAGGTATACAAGACCTCAAAACCACTTCAGGCGCTTGCGTCATTGGATCAATAACAATAGCTGGCCAAAATGGCTCCCTCTTCCCAGGCCTTGCCCACACTATATCCCCCGAATAAAAATCCTCTGGTCCATACAACCCATCTTTCCTCTCACCATTCTCCAGCGAAAGTTGCTCCTCAGCTGTTAAATCAACAATGCCCACCACATTTGCATACTTCTCATCCTCATCAACGAATTGCTCATGTACTGACGTTAACGAACTAAGCGAACTTGAGTACTTCCTAATATCAAAAGTCCTACCATGCCGGGTTTCTCTTTCATCTTCCTCACACAATGTAGCATATTTTCTCCCTTTATAACCATTCTTCTCTTCATTCCGTCGATTTCTTAGGTTTTGCTTACAAGTTTTAGGTGTTTTAAAACTGAATTTATCCTTTTTACACTCAAAATCTTCATCGTCGTCATCATCCTCGAAACTATAATCACGCAAGCTAGTTTTACTTTCTTTCTTCCAATTCTCAATAACAGAATCGTTAAACCGTGAAGGAAGTACCTGAACTCGCCCTCTCGATGTCCTCACAAGCGGTGGCCGAGCAATCTCCACCGTTCGATTCTTGGCCTTGGACGAATCTGAGCCCTTGGATTTGGACTCCACCTCACCAGGGGTGCACGAGACTTCGGTGCACCATGAAGCCGCGAACCCTCTCGGCCTGGCCAGACGCGATAATACGATGGAGGCTGACCGGAATTATGCCGGCGGCTACCTCTCCAAGGAGCGTTAGAGGATAATAGCCGTTGATTTTTCGCTTCTTGCGAGTTGTACCCGAGTTATCTTCGTCTTCACCAACCGAGTCGCCGAGTTTGCACCGTTTTAGACTCGGCATTTGGGATTTAAGGTTGCGCTTGATTATCATATTTTCTCTAATCAATCAATCCCTTCTCATCGACATAAAGAAAAGAAAAAAAACTCTCAGTTATTCGCTCTTCCAATTGGGGAACGCTTAACAACCTCGATTTCACATGGAAAACCTAATTCCCAAAACACCCATAAACCCTAATTGCAAACTCAATTTTCACCAACAAAGAGAACAATTGGACCTGCACCTTTCCTTTCTTCTGTTTTTTTTTTTTTTCCTTTTTCCTTCTCAGAAACAATCGGAGGAATCGAAAAGAGATAAAGACAAGAAATTAAGGACGAGGAGAAACTGAACGAGAAACTGATGAGAATTTGGAGGAGAAGACGAGAAGTGCTGGGGGTTTGGATGGAATAGAGATCTGTTTAGATGAAGCTCTCTCTCTAACAGCGACAGAGCATAGAGAAAGAGAAAAAAAAGATAGAGAAGATATAATTTTTAATTAAATTTTCGTAAACATTATTAAAATTAAAAAAAAAAAAAGAAGTTTTTCTTATATCAGAGACAGTTTTTTTTCTGGAAAAATTTTTTTGAGAGGGTTGAAAGAGAGAGAGAGAGAGAGAAAGGAAAGCGGGGTCGGCGTTATCTATCTTGTGAAAGCAAAGAAAGAGAGCAGTAGTATTTGTTTTGTGTGAATACGTGGGAGTGGTATACAATGTGGGTGATAGATGCGCTAACTTGCGCCTTTGCTAATTGTTGGGTGCAATTTCTTCCTTCTTCGATTTCGTGACTCACAGACCAGTCTGGTTATGGCTAACAACACTTTCCTTCTTTTCCTTCTTTTTTTTTTCCTTTAAGTTTGGGTTGGTGCCAAGTTAAAACTTTCCTGTATGATTTCCTGAGCAGAGAGGATTTTGGAAGGTTTGATTCCAAGAAAGTTGGAACTTGTAAGTTTACTGTAACGATTTTTGTTGTCAGCATTGATAGATTTTGGTTGGGTCTTGGATTTGATTCTTACTTATGTTTGACGGAACATCAAATTTGGGAAGCTCTGGAATTAGTTTTTGATATAAAGTCTGCAAAAATTTGAATTTGGCGGACCATGGGATTTAGGAGGAGAGCTTAATCTTAATTATTATTTACTTAAATAATTGTAGTTCCACTAATTTTGGATGGGTTTTTTCTTTTTTTTCCTTTTTGGGTTATTTTGTGTACTTCATAGGCCCGTGCTCTGTGATGTTTTTCTCTTTGGTTTTCTAGTACTATTATGTTAAAACTTCTGCATATCAGAGTTAGAGGATCTCTCAAGACTTCACTGTTTTCTTTTTCTTTTCGTTTTGGGTATATGATTCCATTGGATTTTGGGTTTCGTGGATTAATTGCTCTGAAGACTTTCCTCCAATGGGTTTGGATTTTGGTCTCTGATCGATAGCGGCACCGCGTGAAGTCGTGGTCGTGAAGTCTTCCACCATTTCCTTGGAGGGGTATTTTGGGTATTATCGGTAGATGGAGGTTGCATGCTGCCGATGTTGTTGCTTCAAGCAATTTCATGTTACTAATATATGAATTTCTAGCTTCCCTTTTTTTATTAATTAATAATAGTATTATTAAGTTATTATTTCCTGTAAGTTTAATGGATTTAATTCATCATGGTGTAATTAATTTGATGTAATGGTTCGTTCCATCGTCCGGTCGATGATGCTTCATGCATGAAATTTCGTTCATCTGATCATGTGGACGAGTAAGTCACCGGGGTATGACGAGTTGATGCATGGTTTGTGCGAAAAATCTCTCTGCAAATGAGTGGCCGGAAAAAAGGATGAAATAAACGCAGCCCAGCCCGGCAACCGGTGGGTCTGATCAGAAATTATTGATAAATAGAACAAATTTTCATGGTGGGATGTTCATGGCATTTTATGAATTGGTTTGGTTTAATTGGAAATGATGATGGTATAAGATTTGCGATTTTCTTGAATTTTGGCACCAAATTCTTACAGTTTCGGGTAAGGTTCGTGGTAGATGGGTGCTTTCACCATCTGAGTTTCTGAAGTCTCCAAAATATCCAACAATCTCTTCAATTATGTACCCCAAGTGTTTTTTTTTTCAATCATTTGGGAAGTGCTGAAAATTCCCAGATCTGGTGACGATTAAATTCCTTAGCTGGATCATGTGTTGAGTTAGAAACAATCTGGTGGAGGTTGCCAGTTGGATACATGGGTTTGGAAATGATATACGTAAATGACGGTCTGTTGGTGGCGTACGAATCTGTATTTTGCGTTTTGAAGGGGAAGAATTTTGGGCCGGTGGGTCTCTGCAACCAATACTGTCAGCCTGTGCCGATCACTTGGCAGATCTTCACAGACCAAATCCCAGCTCAAAGAGGACAACCAGTACCCAGCTGAGCTGAACAACAGCCAACAAGCAGCATATTTAGGTATTATCAACGTTTTTGTAAGAATATGCTATTGAAAAGGAAATATGGGTGGAAAAGAAAAGAATATGACTATATTTTCATTTATGGGTTGGGTTTGGTCACTAATATGATGCAAGACTTTGATCCATGTTTGGAGAGGATATGTCCTGTTTTTGAGCCAATTGCAGCGTAATGAAAATTAAAAGTTTCTTAAAGAGAGAGTGTTTTTTTAAATAATAATAATAATAAAGATAGTAAATATCTATAATCCTAATGATTTGGGCTTTGGGTTCATACAATGTGCAGGATTATGATGCTTCCAGCTCCAGGGCGAGCAAGCATACTTTTGGTGGGTATTTTATCTTTGGTAGATGAGGATATGGCTCGCTGCTTAGAAATTAAAGACGGAGAGGAAAAGCAGGAGTAAGAGGAGGTCGAGAAAGGAGTAACCAAGCTGTAATAATTTAGGGGAGATGGTTGGCCCCTGTAGCTTCAATTGCTTCAACTCAAATTCTTAACAGTTCAGATTGTAGCTTGTACATCTAATTCTAAACATGGATCTTCTTGTTTTTCCTTTTTACTGCATCTGGAGGTGGTGGTGGTGACTGGTGAGGTGGATTTGAAATGGAGAATTGAAATCGCCATGGACAATCAGTGGATTGAGCTGAAAATCATATGGTTGTCATCCAGGAAAGTTTGGTGGTAGTATGGGAGATAATTTGGAAAATTTATGTTTTTGGTCAAAGCCCAAAACAGGGAGAATTGTTTGGTTTGAATCACGTGAACCCATGGATTCAGTCAATCTTAAAGTCAAAATTGAAAACCACGTGCTTTGTGGTGTAGTACTGTTTTACATCGTCGGATCTGGTGTTTGAACCCGTTCTTTCATTTTGCTCAATTGATTTCAGGTCCATCTGGTTCTTCTGAGCAGGCTCAAAGAAGTTGGAATCACAGCATCTCCAAGTCACCAGAGCTATGGGTTTTGACTTTGGAGTCAGTATGAATGATGCTTTTGAAGAACAATAGTGCCGCATAAGGTGTATGGAACAACGTAGCAGAGAACAAAGAATTTGCAAGAGAGAAACAAATAATTAAGAGATAAGAGGGAGAAAACTGATGAACAGATTGCTAGAGGAAGTGGAAGGAAGGTGGTGAAGTTGTTGCAGAATAGGTTATACCGAAAATGGAAATCCTTGATTCTGATACTGGATTTATTATCTACGATCCAAAATTATGCAGACCTTGGCAGAGTCCACGTTTCCAGATGGACTAAAACATGTTTCAAAGTTTATATCAACTTGCCCAGTTATCTATTAAAGAAAGGAGATGATTGGTGCACATGCATTTGATGCACCCAATGGGGGGATTGGTCAATTTATGCATTTACTATTTATTTTGGAAACCATAGTTCATTGGAGGCAAAAGATGAGCTCGAATGCTTTATATTTTGGAACTAAAAATCTCTTGAAGTATACATGTACGGATCTAAGGTAGTTTGGGCATTGGACTTCTTTTCTTTTTCGATACATAGTTTGGACTAGTTTTGTCAGTCAATTACCTGCCTAAATTGGAGAGACTCTGTATATATTCATGTTGCAGTCATGATCCCTAAAGGCATATACCTAGTTTATGTAGCACAGAAGTTCTGTTAAGAAATGGCCAAAAACTCCTTCTGGTTGGTTGTTGATCATTTTTTAAGTCCAAACTTGCCTGATCAAGGCCAATGTCTGATTTGTTTTTGTGAAGTCATAGACTATTCTGATCAAATCATATGTCTTATGTGTGTCAAGCGCCAACCCTTCCCATGGTTAGTCAGGACATGGCAAAACCCGCTGAGAGTAGCATGAAGTTCCAACTTTGCACTTTCCAGGCATGAGCATGGTTTATTCCCTTTTTTGTATCTCGTTTTATGAAGTGCTGAGACATTTTCGGAGCATATACTTTATGTGGCCAACTATGCCTAACAAACCATTTCTTTGGACATGCGTGTTAGAGCTGATTCCTGGTGAGCAATCTCAGAGAAATTTACTCCCCTGTGCCTCAACCCGCAAGAGGGATTCTGTTTGTAGGAACCCAAAGACATAGAACAGTTTAAGAAACGATTGAGACTGAAAATTTTTAGAGGGAAACAAGCATCAAAATTTATCAAGAGTAAAACAAAGGGTTTGTTCGGACATAGACTAGAAAATGAGGAGGCAGTACACTGAATCTTTAGAACAAATTCTCCTGATGGTTCTGGAGTTTGTAAGATGGGTCTCTGTTCTGTCATCTTCACTGGGCACCGCGCGACGTACAGAAATAGTTGCATGGGAATTTGGTAACGGACTTCGGCTGTCTAGTGGCCTTCAGTACAGTGCATGTAAGTTCTGAACAAGACCTAGAAATGGCTTTGCAGTAGATACGTCCATTTAACGTACCAAGACCGTTTAACTCAGCAACCATTAACAGGAACTCGGGATACCTAGTGAGTCGGCTCAATTTCCCAGAAGCCAGAGTTACAAGGGACAGGCACCCCGCAAAGTAGTGGTATGTGAACTTTGTACTTTGTAAAGATTTGTTTCTGGTCCTGTGACTCCGGTCTACCCAACCAGTACTGTGAGCTGAACTTACCACTACGAATGACATCACTACAATTGAAATTCCTCAGTGGTTTGTCTGCATTTGAGAATTATGGTTGCAATGAATGGTGGACATTAAACTCCCTAGTAATAATACCTCTTTGACAAAATTATTGAAAGTTTTCGCAATCATTCCAGCATTGAAACCGAAGGGACACATGGCCACCTAATCAGAAGGAAAAAGACCTCCTTGACAGGTACTAATTTTGTGCCATCATAGAAAAATCCAGAACCTTTATGTTCATGATCAGAGATTGGCATGGAAGTGGATCGGCGGACACGGCAGTCCAATAAGAGGAGATCGATTAGATTGCGAAATGAGCTCATGATGGAATAGAAACATTGCGCACACCAATTTTATGTATTCTTTCATCAACTTTGCGACTTTTGAGTAGTAATGAGCTTTGATTGTTGCACAAGAACAAAACCAGATGCTTCAGAAAATTACTAAATGTGTGATGAGGGAGTATACAAATCATATCATCTTTTTTGTGGAATCACCAGATGGAGAAAGCATCATCATTTTATAAGACAAATATGAACAAGTACAAATTTCTGCTTTGCCATTTTATTGAACAGACACTATGTACATCCTACTTGGCCATTTCCGATACAGAGGGTATTATTACAGCAAATTAAGACAGAACTATTTCTCAGGAGCTGGGTTCTGGTTTATTTAGCATTTACCTGTCTAAGATTTCCACAAAGGCTATATATGCCAAATTGACACTACTACTCATCTTTTCCATTACCTCATTGGACCTAGCTACTTCATTCCTGTTTTACTTAGTAATTATTTAATTAGCCAAAAGTTGTTGCCTCTTCGGGTTGTCAGATTCTTCGGTCCTTGCAAACCTTCCTCGGATCCTTGGTTGACTATCAGCAAGAGCCTTCCTGCAAGCATACTGATATAAAAAAAAAACATATCATGAGTTTTGATACGGAGTCTGACAAAAGGCTAGATATGGAATATGAAAATTAACTACAGAGTGTGCACATATACTCCTTGCTAAACAGTTTAGGCACTTAGTCATCTTGTTTAATGTTAAAAGCCAAGCAACAAATGCAACTAATATTTATGGGATCGGAAAAAACTTTAATTTTTACCTTGATTTTCCTTCCAAAGTTCCTCTTTGTCTTCTTATTCCTGTATCTGGAAAGCTTCTCCCTTCGATCTTCAGTAGAACAGCTGCTGACAATTAATGGTCGCTCAAGGGGAGAATGGATTACAGTCGTATTACCATTGCCAAGAGTCTGTCATAAAAACTCAGTATCAATGACCCACCCCATCCTGTGGAAATGGCCAGAAACATCTAAACGTTCCTCAGTCCATAGACTTTGTTACAAAGAATATGTACTCAGTGCTCAACTGCAATTTGATGAGTCACTTGATTCTGGTGGGTTTGTAAGAGGGAAATGATGAAGAAAATGCTGGATTTTTCTTTTTTAAGTCAAAAGAAGGAACATGTTTGAATTTTTAGACATCATTAGAATTAACGAAAGCAGGATCCACATCACTTTCGGGCATGATTTTGATAAGGGATAAACACTGGTGTTCATAAGAGGCTTCTACAAAGTATTTAATAAAGTCTTTGTAATGGAGAGAACATGCTAGCAAATTAGCACAAATGGTTTATACTTGGTCAGGTTTTGGTTCCAACAGCAAAAGTACGGTAGAAGGTGAAAGTTAAATAGCATGAGAGTTATGGATGGATTGATACTTCCTCTAATTAGACAAGGTCCAGGTAATTAAAGGGAGTGGCTCTAACATTCTAAACTTAAAACTCTGGCGCATCAACTAAAGAAATCAAGTCTAAAATCTATTAACGTTAAGAAAGGAAATGGTATTCCACACAAATGCCAACAAAAAAGCTAACAGCCACCGTATCAGTCACTGGACAAGTGAAACAAGTAGAAAACAATGCCAAAATAATTAAGGCTGACCTTTATATCTCCTTCACTAAATGCTCTCCTCATTCCATAGACAGAACCAAAATCCATTCCGGAGAAATCCAGAAAACTAGGCTTGATTGCAGCCCCTTGCATCCATTCCATTGAGCTTAAACAACCTGAACTGACACTTTTCTGGAATGGTACATCACAGAGCAATTTGTTTTCTTGATTTTGGTTTTCATCAGTCTTCACAACAGGAATCTTTATATCCAAGACTTCAGACAGTGGTGTTTCTATTGCTGCTTGAGCCATGAGATCCTTCTCGCACTCATAGAGAACCTCTAAAAGTTGCTCATTTTGAATTGATTCTATATCTGCAGCCTTAAGTCCTTGTGAAGTAATGACATCTTCACCACAGGAGATTAATGAGATGGCTGCAGTCATGGGATCAAGGCCCACAATTGGTTCTTCAATGATGGGTTCTGGAGCTTTGAACAGATCACCTTCTCCTCCCAGGTCATATTCAGATATTGTGGAGGTCTGAACCAAGTTGTTCTACATTAGGCAAAGAAAAGACAAAGGAAAGTTTAGAAACAAAGCATCATTACTGTTGACCAGGATCTTTTGCTCAAATGAAACAAAAGTAGGAGAGGCTAAGACAATAAGTCAGTATAAAAATCTTAAAATTAATACAGGCGGAAACATAATTTGCTTTGGATAACAGGAATTGTATTCTAGTAACTCCAAGAAAAGCTTCAGCCTCTAGCCCAAGACTAAACAATGCAATTTTTGAATGGCCTCAACATACATGAGTTCAGTTTAATTGCATCTTCTTTTCTTTTTTTCAGATAAACAGTCTTACTACTTATAGAGTCTTTTACGAATGAATTTCCCCACATCAGACATGTTAAACTCAAACTGGAAGATTCTAGCGCAAAGGTCAGCCACCAGTATGCTTATGACGTTCATTAAAATGCGCTCATCTGCCTCTTCCTTCTCCACCATCCACAAAAACAAGTTCAGAAACACAAGCAAGTTCAAATATTTGATTGTTTAAGGAATCAATCTAAATTTCGTTTTAATAACTTACTGAAGCTTAAACGTGTTTGTGCTATACAATACCAAACTCTAGCCGCATTAACTACAGTGGCCCTTTAATGGAGAAAGGAACTAAGATCAATTCTCATTCTGACAGCAATCACACTCTACTAATCAAGTTTCCAAACCTTCTCAACAAATAACAAAAACTCCAAGTCCTCACAGACAACATTTTTCTTTTGGTAACAGGATACATATTTATCAGAAAATCACCCTTATCACACTAAGAAAATATGTTTAACAACCATTTAAAAGGGTAATTTTTATTTCTCCTACTTTCTCCAAAATTTAATTTTACTTTTGACACCAACTAAAATAAATTGCAATACGAACCCCTTCTACTTCCCCAACTTTTTTTTACCCCTTATACTCAAGAAACTAAAAAATACTGTCTTTTTCTTCTTCTTTTTTCAAATCTCTGTGTAAGTGGGCTAAAAAGTGACAAACCCAATAACCAGTTCACACCAAAAAGTTGAAAAAAATGGGAGAAATCTTCAAGAACACGGAACTCGTGACATGGAAATCATTTTCCAATTATATTCCAACTTTTCTTTGTTTTCTTTGCTTTTTCCAGATCCAGCATGTAAAGATGACTTTAAATATATTTTCCATTTCAACCCTTGTTTGGTTGCTGAGAAAGAGTTTTAAAAAGAACCCCAAAAAGCATAGAACATAAAGGCTGAAGCTTCCAAAACACATTTTTTTTCCCACTGTTTTTCTTAGTCATTAGCGGGAACATGAAAACAAAGTTATCAAAATTTTTCCTAAAATTGAAATCTCTAATCCGGAAAAATGAACATGAAATCACTCAAAAGAAAACTAAAAACCTGAAATTTTAAGTGAAACACAAAATTGTCTCAATTTTTTTGCTCCATTTTAGAAGCAGTCAAAATAAAGAACCATTACAGTAGAAAGAAACAAAGTAAACAGTGAAGCAAAGATCAAAGACCAAAATTCTTCAGCTACAGACAATCAAAGCCAAAACCAACCTCAAAACTAGACCCAATCAAACAAATGCAGATCACCGAAAAGAAACCATGGAAGTGAGAAAAAAACCCAGAGACAAATATTGAGATATTGAGTACCATTGAAGCATTGGGTTTCTGGGTTTTGCAGAACTCTTCAAACTGCTGAAAATCTTGACAGAAGTTCTGCATGTAAGGGGAAAATAGCCCTGCCTCTGCATACATTTCTCACCCACAAGGCACAAGTTTTTTGATTCTTCAGAGAGAAAGAAGGAAACTTTCCCTTTTTTTTTCCCCCTTCAAGGAAGAAGATGCCACTTCTCAAGAAAACAGCGTTCCAAAGTCGAGCAAAGCAGTACTACCTTATAACACAGCAGCCAAAATGTAGAGAGAGAAAATTTGGTTGGTTTTGGCTCTGGTGTTGAACTTAGGGAGAGAGAGAATTTATATACTTACAATAATCAGAGGGTGCCCATTAATTAAGATTTTTTGAAAAAGAAAAATGAAAAAAATTGATGTAACAAAATAGGTGATAGTAATAATAAGGACAAAATGTAAAAGGACATGATATACTGTCGTCTGACCCCATCGTCCCTTATCATGACTCTTTCATTTAGCAGAGTCAGTATTATTCTAATAAAATATAATAAAAATATATTTTCTTTTGGGTTGAATTATTGTATAATAACATTTTTTCTATTATTATAGTAGCAATTTGCACAGGTGAATGCACCATGCCTTTGTACATGTTTGTGGGCTTGGACAGTGCTCATCACTCACTCCGACCTATATCTCATGTCAGAGGAGGAACACCTTGTTTTATGTTCTTTACCCACGCGGTTCTTGTGCGCGTTTCATACACTTCCCATGCATGTGGATGGGATGCTCGATTGCAGGGCAGCAGCAAATTTTTGTTGCTAGTCAACAAGTGGAGACCGAGCTGATGGTGGGATTTTTGCTCTCCCCTTCGTTTGATGGCTTTTCTTTTCTTTCTTTTTTTCTCTTCTATCTAATAAGTATAGATTATAATTTGGATATTTTACATAGATTAATAAGATTAAAATAGATGTCACGCTCTTGGGTATTGATGAAAATATCTGAAATTTACTTATAATGTGGTAGTAAATATTGATCTAAAGTATGAAAAGATCTAAACATTATCATTTCAATATGTCTCCTTTTATTTTGTGTAGTGTTTGGGAATTGGGCATTTGCATTAAATGCTATGTTACTAAAAAGGAAAGCTAGTAACGAATTTGAATCGAAACAAAAACGATTGGGAAAGAGGGTTTGGCTTGGTTCACAGTCAATGCAATTCTTGAAGGCAACAAAGCAAAGCTAAGTCCTCTAGCACTCATATGGCTGTAAAAGCTTATATCAAATAAGTTACCTTAGAAAATTCCTCCTATGAACACAACCCAAGCTATCCCATTGCATCACAATTTGATTTTTGTGCAATTTTAGCGAATTATGTAAGAATTAACCATACTTATTCTAAATTAAAATTTTAGATTGAACTTTGATAAGACTTAATCAACTTGTCATGATATGATAGCGCATGCCTTGCTATAAAATAGCACGTTGGGTGAAATTTTTGGTTGAGCTATCTTCTCATATCATGATGTTTAAAAAAAAAAAAGAAAAAAACTCTTTATCAAATAAAAGTAAATTAATTTTAAAGTCACGAGAATTGTGATAGTTGAAAAACACGTTTTAATCACTAGTAGATAATTTAAAGCAATAGAATTGAAATATTTTACAAAATATGCTATTAATACAATGAGTAAGATTTAAGATTTTACTATTGTACTTTTAATTTTGTTAATTTTTGAATAGATTAACAGAATTTGAGTATTTCATAAAATATTTTGTTAATGCAAATGGTAAATTTATGTCAGTTTCGTTATTTTAGATATAAAAATTGACAAAATTAAAAATATAATGTCAAAATTTAATGAAATTGAAGTATAATGATAAAATTTAATATTAATTCATAATATAATAACAAATTTAACTTTAATTCTTTTGATAAATTATGATTATGTGCCCACTAAGCATCGTAAAAGCTTTGTGCAGAAATGCTTTCACATTCCACATGTACATAATGTATTATTAACATTTTGATTAGCATTTAGCAATCATAAAGATGCAACAAGCTAAGGTTTATACTATGTAAAATTATTCTTTTTTCCATTGTTCAAGTGTCATTTTGATTTTGATTTTGATATTAATCAAAGATGACATTATACCCTGTTGAACGAGAACAACAATAAGAACAAAATTTTCTTATGTTTGTTCTGACTGCTGATTAGAAATAAATGGAAATATCAAATTAATTGTAAAGAAAAGGAAAAAGATCTTAGGCAATCATATGGAGTTATGAACTGCCCGCAATCTTGACCAACTTTGCATATTTTCCATAACCCAATGAGCAAAAAAATTGATCTATCATAAGCCAGCTTAAGGCTTTATTAAAACATGCTATGAACAGGAACTCATGGAATAGTGTCCGTTTTGATTTGAAGATGGAATTTCATGTTGGCCTGAAGATAACCCTGCAAATACCATATCCATCAAGGAAAGTAAAGAACTTTACAGCTAGCTCGCAGGCATCTTAGGAGTTGTAGGCCAAAAGGAGAAAAAAATGAAAAAAAAATGTACAAAATGGATATAGAAGAATAAATCAGTCAATTTGATTTACAAAAATCATTCATTACTATATTCATTCATTCTTTATTTAAGTACCAGTAACAATTTGCTGGTTCCTAGTGAGCAGTGACTTGATGGTGGGCGGTGAGGTTTGATGTTTTTGAAAGCAAAAGGCAGGTCAAATCTGTCAACCAAGTAGTGCCTAGTTGCAAATGGTTGTGGCAACTTAGGTTCTAAAAATTAATCATTTCTGATAAAATTATTAAGCATGAAATGTGATCAGGTTCCCAATTTAGAGGCTGTGAAAAAGGTTCCATCTTTTTGTACGGTTCCAGTAAAAAAGCAAAGCTTAGTCGGCCATGAATCGAAGGGCTTTTTATTTTTTGTTAATTAAATATAGACCAGCATCATTATTAGTCGATCTTGAGCAAATTGAATGTTGGTTGAACTTAGGATATTCGGACTAAGATTGGAACCTCCTTAAATAGAACAATGTTGTACATGCAAAAAGTCCGAAAAAAAAAGAAACGTCACCTCAATTCTCAAAGGGAGTCTCCACATTTTGACTACATTGCATGCAAAATTAGAAAAAAAATACAAATATATATATATATATATTAATTCCTCAAAAAAATGTATGATAACAAAACAATAATATTGTAAAAAACTAAAGATGTCAATCACGCAGTTGTGCGATAGCGATGCGCAGCCGACTAGGGTGTGGAAATGCAGAGTACAAGTTGAACTCGTTTGGTTTCAGAGACGGAGGGTGATAAGTGACAAGAGTTTGGTTTTCTACTAAAAAAAAAAATAAAAAGGAACGATAAGGATATGGCCGGCGACAATTTGCAAGTCCCTGTGACGAGTAATTATTAGCTGTTTCGCAGTTGCGATTAGCTTAATGATGCAACTTTAGGCGTCACGAGGTAGAGCAATTGCTAGGGGAGAAAAAACGAAAGACATTTTGCGGTATGAGAGGTCTTCAATCCCTGTCTGAAAATTCAGAAGCTTCTGGGCAAATTCGAAGAAGATGCATCATGACTGACAAGAGATGCACGCTGGGTATCAAAGATCTTGCTTGGAAAGACAATGATATCTGTTTTTTTTTTTTCTCTCTCTCTCTTGGAAAAAGAAAAAGAAATTAGCTGTAGAAAGTTGGATAGATTCTGTCTTCCAATTTGATCAAAATTATTCAAATTCTCTATCAATGTGGTGAGCCCTATTCCTCCACAGAGCAATTTGCATTTAACAAACAGTTTTTCTGAAAGTGTCAGCCTACATTTGTCCTTTTCTTGGAACAGTCAAACTTCAGGCATAAAGTTAAAGAAAAGAATAACACAAGCAATGAGATGGAAAGAAGGGAAGACCTGCGAAGTAGGCTTAATTAGGGAAAAGTTTAGGTATTTGTTTAATGCAGGGAGATAAGTTTTTATGAACCCAGTTTTACTGCCTCCATTTCAAAGGGCATGAAGCATATGATGCTGATTGAAATGATATATTACTATTTTTTTTTAGTTCTTTTTTCCTGATTATCATCAGTCTATCTATCAGGACAGCATGCCTATACTTAAAAGACATATCCAAGTTGCAATATGAGACAAAACTTCAAACCATTCAGGTTTAGCCAAGAAAAGAAAATAATAATAAAAAAAAAACTTTAAACCCTTTGCTTTGATGGGATGTACACAAACTTTCCCATTGCTTTTATAAAAAATGAAACTGATTGTTGAAAGTTTTGCATAAAGTTTAAGCTGGTGGTCACTTTCTTCGGACAAAATTTCGTGTGTGCGATGATGGAGTGGTTTTTTAGAGAAAATGGTTGATTGTTCATAGTTTTCATATTTTCATTAATTATAAATGTCTCATGATGTCTCATGCGCTCTAAAGACCATTTAAAAGCAAATTGCCAAATTAAGATATGCAACAAAGTCACTAACAGGACCACAAGTTCTTGCCATGCTGATTAATGCAAGATGGAACAGTTTCAGTCCCTGATTTATTTATTTATTTATTTGTTTGTATTGTTTATTTTTTGTGTGGGGTGCGGGGTAGCTTGAAAGAGATTTATTAATATTTTTTTTCCCTTTAATTTTGGAAAAAAAGAAAGAAAAACAAGTTTGGAATGTGAAACACTGCCCATCGAATGGAAATGAAAGTGAAAACAAAATCTGAAAACAGTAAAACCCCCTTCCACTAAAGGATTTCCCTTTCAGAAGTTTTAATTAAAAGGTCAAATAGCTTTCAAGTCTGAAAGAAGAAAAAATGAAACTCATGGGTGAAATGTGGAGTTGGGCTGTAAAGTGGGAGAACATCAACCCAAAGCCTTTAAAAAAAAAAAAGCGAGGGTATGTGCCTCTTTTTAATGATGACGAGTGAGGAATGTTAAGTTGTACACGTTGGGATGGCTCACGGGACAGTACACCCAAAAAGAAGAAAAAGAAAACCTTAAAATTCCCACTTTAGGAAAAGGAAATTGTAAGAAAGGGGAGGCTCCTCCATCCGTGTGAACGTCTGAAGGTACGCATGTTACATATCCGAGGTCCATGTCATGGGGCATCACTTTGATCCAATTAGACCCTTACACCTGGCGAGTTTCCTTCGCTCCACTTGGCAAAGCCGCTGATTTTTGTAGTGGACTTTAGCAGACAAAGAATGGAAAACGTCCTAGTTATACCAGCTATCATGCGAAATCATTAAGACACTGCTGGCTGAATGCATCCATTTTGGGTTTTTGGAGAATAATGGGGGATAATTAACTGAATCAGGAAAAGTGCCCCATACTGGTGTA